TGCAACAGGAATGGGACAATCTGGACCAAAATGACCTTAGACGTCTCATTAGGAGTATGCCACGTCGGATCAATGCTTGTTTGGCAAACAGAGGAGGATTTACCCGTTACTGACTTGGTTGTGATGCTGTGGTAACTTTGCTGTTTGACCCCGGGTATCATTTTACCCTTATAATGGTCAGTCTGTGCCTTACTTAGTCTAACGATCATTTGGAATAAATCGATGAATGTGAACTTCATTTCATTTTGTCATTTGTTTCTTCGTCAGTTTCATTAGGTGACTTTAATAACACTTAAAAATCAAATATCCCCTACTTTTTTTGAATAGTATATTTCAAATACATATGGTAAATGATGTTAAGGCACCGGACCCCCCCGCCCGCCACCACCGTCACCGCCCCACCACCACCATACCTTCCAATTATTAGATAAACGAATCTTATGTTTTATGCCCTTGCTATACTAGAGTATACATGTAGATCTTATCACTGCACCCACTTGTATCTTATTTAAAAATTTGTATTAAGTCCGATTTGCCATATAAAGAACCGTTATATTTTCTTTACCTATAGGCAAAAAGGCATAAACAGTATAAGCTTTTCGGATTACCGTTATTGAATTACGAAAATATGCGACCATTAATTTGGCTACTTTGACACTTTTAATGTTAATTTTTGTCTTCCTGTCCGGCTCCCAACTGTTCTTGAATTTTCGCTGGGTTAAGATGTAACAACGTTTAATATTGTCTGGGTTCGAAATTGTTATTTGAGATGTAACTATCCACCGAACAGATTACAGTAATCAACGTCGTAACCCTACTCTCGTTCCGCATCAATACCATGAATATTCACCAAAAGCAGACTAAAAAGACCCTTTGCAACCCCCGTAAAAACCCACACAAAAAACTATAACTAGCAGTAACTATACTCTTCAAAAAAGTAGGGGATACTGAAATCCAATTACCTATTCCGGTTGTTATATGATAAATAGTCATGGACACTTGACATGCTTTGAGAGTATGTTCATAGATGAAGAACTTATCGCCCCAACAGAACCACTGAGCTGCACATGTGACACGCAATAGCGCCATACACGTGGGAGGGGTTCATTGTCAAATTTGACACCTTAAGGAAGGGTTGATGAAAACAGTCGCGTGCTGGTTTATCTATCCATGTTTGCTTTCCTATCGGTTCTTGCATAAGATTTACTGTTTAGCGTATCTTTGCTTTAGTGTGTTACGTTTAATTTGATCGGGAGACGTGTTCGTCGACGTCAACGTCAACCGACAACTCTGCAAGAATTGGCGGTGGCATTTTGCAAGAGGAGTGGGTCAGATTGCCCCAAATCGTGATTGGACGGTTGATTAGGAGCATGCCACGACGAACTGCTGAATGTCTGAGGATTGGTGCAGCAAATACTCATTATTAAGACAAAAATCAAAAAAGTCCATTTTCACTTTTGACGTGTATTTCTTTGAGAGTGAAATGGGGCCGCCAGATAAGCCGCCCATATGAACTGTTTATGTTCACGTGTAGGCAATTGGCCTGTTATTAACATACACTGGTACTTCTAATAAAAACAGCAGTGCATTTCCGCAGTTTTGTACTGTTTCTGAATATCCCCTACATTTTTTGAGAGTATATATAGCCAATTGGGGGAATAATTGGTGGTCTGCATCCAATTATTCATAGATCGTCTTCTCGAACAAAAGTTTTTAGACGTATTCCCTTTATAAAATTATAACTGGCCCATGGGCTTGTATGGTTTAAGAGACATGTTGAAAAATGTTATGCAATTAGCAAGAAGAAACAGTCATCTTGTTCTACTGTGAGAGGTCTGACACCTTGTCTTATTCACATGTAAATAGTTACCTGGTTAAATGTAAATATCTAGCAGGTAAAAGTAAATATACCCGATGTACAGGTAAATATATATTACAAGAGAGAGATAATCAACATAATGAAACACGTTTGTCAATCTCATTAAAACCTTGACACCAGAATGCTTACTATGTCTCTGTTTATAGAAAGTCGACTGATATCAAACTATCTGGTTAGCCAGTATACAAAAATACCAACAACAAAACCCCCACGAATTTAATTAAAAGACGTCCTAATTAAAATTAGACTATAATTTGGTTTCTTTTTGAATTGAGGTTATCTACATTTACATCATAGCAAAATCTATCAACATCTTTTTCCTGTCAATGGACAGAGGCTTTGGTTTTGCCGAGATGGCTTTTACCCATTCGCAGTGCTTAATAGAACAATAATTTGATAAAAAAAAAATAGTACGGTAGAGTCATTCCATGTCAAGAGGACAAGTGTCTGTAACGTGACCCCCTCAGAATATAGTGAAAAAAATATATGTAATTGACATAGAAATTTATGTAAACCAACAAAGTTATTATAAATCTAGCACTAATATTGACTGAGATGTGGCCTTTCACAAGTTTTGGAAAGACTATTCTATGACTCGATTTCGGTGTACTGATTTTATATCTTGTATTTAGACAATATTCTTGAAATTATGGGGTTTGTGAGAGAATATTAATATTGATTAAGAATTTGCTATCGAATTTCGCAGACCAAATTCAATGTACCATCAACTGTGTATGGAGTGCCCTAAGTGCCAAAAATTGATACTTGTGCAAAAAACAAAATCAATATTTCGAAACAGTATAGAAATTTTACTGCACTATATTAGAAGTTGTTACTTATCGCATGCATAATGTATCAATGGGTATTGTTTTAACAAACACTATTAAAAGCCATATCTTTGGGGTATACATAATTAGAGGATTACAGGAAAACAATTAAAATACAAGTTATAGAAGCCACGCATAGTCATGAACTTGGTCTCACAGGGTGTGATTTTGTGATAATTAAAGTATTGGGGTGATATCCTTTCAAATGGGCGAAAAATGTAAGTATATTAACATGTTAAAAATCATGAATTTTCCATATTTTTGATATTGAATCAAGAATTAATGGTACCCCCCCCCCCCACACACACACACACACACTCACCTCCTGTCTGGTATCGATGCATAATTGTTAAGTACGCACAAAATGTTCTAGAAGGTTTTATTTCATGATGATCAGGCAATTAGAAGTATTCTAATCAATCCATTCAAATCGGCAAAAAATGAAAAAAAGTACCCCCCCCCCCCCACACACACACACATTCTTCGTCTGGTATTGATGCATAACTGTTAAGTACAAGTATGTACAAAATGTTCTAGAGGGTTTTATTTCATGATGATCAGACAATTAGAAGTATTATAATCAATCCATTCAAATCGGCAAAAAATGAAAAGAATCATAATTTGCTGATCAAATTTAATGAAAATAAAAAATGAAGGAGGGAAATATCAAATATGGGCCTTTCATCATTGATAGACACGTGTACATGCACAATTTTCCCAAATATTCATATTTTTTCATAGAATGCTCCTATACATGGTTGGTGTTTGAAAAAGGGGGATTTTAGCTTTTTTCGTGAGTGAGTCTATTTTGAAAGCTAATTTTACAAGACACCGACAAACATATGGCTTTAATAATGTTTGTTCAAACAATACCCATTGATACATTATACATTGATACAGAGTAGTCAAATTTCTACACTGTATCGAAATATTGATGTTTTTGCACAAATATAATGTTTTGGCACTTAAGGCACTCCATACACAGTTGATGGTACTTGTTCTGTAAAATTTGATGGTAAATTCTTAATCTATACAACATTCCCTTACAATCCCCATAATTTCAAGAATATAGACTGACAAGAAGGAATATAATCAGATCTCAAAAGTCGAGTCATATAATAGCAGTTTCAAAACCTGCGAAAGGGTACCTCGATTAAAATGGTCATATGTCAGTCCATATCAATGCTAGAGTCATATAACTTTTCAGTTTTACAAAGGTATGTACATGTATGTACTATAACATATTATGTCGTTTCCAAAATTTTCTGAATGGGTCACGTTACAAGGTCTGAGAATTTGTTCAACTTGACATCGAATGAGTCGGTAATTAGATATTCATGTAGTGTAAGACAACCGAAATTAAACCCACGTCGAAATAATAATCAACTTTTAAATAGATGGTCCAAATGAATGAATACAGGAAATATGAATTTAACTACATGAAGCCTTAATAAGTTATAATCCAATAGCTATTAAGAAAGTGGGCGTCTCAGAATTTAATTTTGTTTTAATTTCACTGTCTGCTTGGACCCTTACCTTAGCTTCGTAATTTCTTCTCATATAAGAGACGGGTCACTGTAGATTGCATTTGATTTAGGTATCACTGATGGAATCGAAGTAATTAATTTATAGTACCTTCTACTTGTGTATTTATTTCTTAGGCATGCCAATCAAGATGAGTATGATGGTATATGACTAATCTCATTTAAAACTGTAATTAAATTAAAATTGAATTTTCACATTTTCCGATGAATTGACGGTAGGGCCTACTTATAACGTGGTAGGCAATTAAAAAATACGAGAAAGACATCATATGTTAATTCGCAGACTATTTATATATTCTATAATCTGAAAAATAATTGGGATCGTGTGGTAGCCCATTTTTACATTTCAAATCAACTTTCTCTTTTGAACTCTGTCAAAACGGTCATATTTATTAATACAAATTGTTGAACAACTCCAACGAAACGACTAGCTGATATATGCGATACATGTGGTCTCGATCGGTGGGACGACTTGAAACTCTTGAGTTTATTTTGAGTGAAAATGTCGAGAGCAACCAAAAATATTAGTTTTTTAAATTGACTGACAGTTAATGTTTCTTGTGTCAAGTCAACTAAGACCAGCAGACGTGACCAATTGCTTTTCAAACATGGGGGTCAAAGTTTAAAACTGTCAAGTACATCCAGACAGTTTTTCCAGAAGGAACATGTTGCGAGTTCATTTAACCGTCTAAAAACGGTCTTGTTGATCGATTAAAAAACATTTTTGAGGATAATGCATGGTCTTTACAGGTAGACGTCACACTTGTGGTGTATCGGAAGATAGTTTTGGATGACATTATAACTAATACGTGTTCGAGTTCAGCACGACATATCTAGCTCTGGAAAATATTTGAAGTGAATTGTTTCATACACTGTGTTGGATATCGTTAAAACAGCCAACACGAGAATGACTACGCCGAAGGTAAGACATTTTCAATTTATTTTCTTATGCAATACGTTTTTATTCTTTATCTTTTGGTAACAAGACAGTAGCTGACAATTATCGGAGAGAGGGAGAGAGAGTCCCCAACTCCTTGTGCCATTCCCACCAATCCTGTTTCAGTTATCGAATACATTCTATCGACCATAAAGATACACTGGTTTATTCGTGTGCTGAAACCATCTATTAAAATCATGTTACCATTATCAATAGCAGGTCGACTCGTAACAGCTAGTATGTCACAGAAAGTTTGAAATACACAGAAAACGGAAACAAGCTTGACTGGGAAGATGCCATCCTCTTGGCATTTTGTTAAAATCAGATATGACATAAATCCTACACATCTAAAATACGACGTCTATATGCCAATACGTGAGGAAGTAAATTAACATAATGTTTTTATATTAAATGTACAGAGCATCCATCATGAACACAAAGATCTATCTTCTTTGAAAATAGATCTCTGTCTTAAATGGTCGCCATATGGAAACATCTGGGTACTATTTTGTTTTGCGGTGCGAATCCGTTTTACATCTTTTATACACAAAGAGTAAATAAACAGTTCAATTTCATTAAATGAAAATGGAAGCAGGATAATTCTCGAGGTATATTTAGTGTTTTCGACTGAAATCGTAGATGTAGGAATTAAAATGTTTGTTTATAAGCGAAGCTGATTGTAGACAGATAGCGTAAGTTTCGTATGTAGAACACCTAAACCCTTACATCGATGTAGTCGTGCTTTTTACTATCGCACTCAGTGCTTCGTCTCACTAAATAAATATTCGTTAATTAAATGCATCCTGCTGTCTGACGATACAAATCTGTAATTAATTGTCGTTTGTGGATGTATACATAAATAATTGTCAGTTTGATGGACAGAATGATTGACAGTGAGTCGAACTATGGCCATTTACAATAATAATAAGATAAATGTTCCCAGAAATTATTGTTTGAAGTGGGTTAGGTCATTTGCCGCGACAGAGTGTATATTATAATACACGTTTTTGGGGAATGTTTGGTAGCACACATAAAATAAATGTTTTAGTATTACACTATGTACGACAGATAAACATATTCTAAATAAAAGTACGAAGAAATTTAGAAGTAGTAGTAGTTAGTTGTATTTTACGTCCGCTTCCACCGAGGTGATATCGCAGACAAGAAATTTAGAAAGTTTATACAATAATATAAGTTGTATAATCACTTGCCGTAGATTTAAGCGGGTATAAACAAAATATATTACGAGACGCCTAAAGATAGCAATATGAAATCAAATAAAGCATAATACACAACGATTTGAAAATCCGTTCGACCAGAATGTTTCTTTTGGACCAATATCTGCTTTTGTTCAGAGTACTTTTGATTGTGGGTGACCTGTATTTTGGCTTGAAAGATTGAAAGTCAACAATGGAAACTCATATTTCATTTGCATTCAACTAAATATTCGTAATAAGACGGAAAATGAATGATTTAGTAGGTAAATTTCGATGACCGACAGCGAACCTCGACATAGTCCAAAGTCTTCGAGATTACTAAGTTCATGATAACGAAGTTTAACATATACATATTTAGTGTATGTCACACATTAAATTTATGTATATTGAAATATTCCACGCGTCTCTGAGTCATAATGATTGATAACTTCTTGTCCATCTTGAAAAACGAGTTAAAGCTTTATATTAAAAACTATCAAAGTGATCGCTGTTTAATCTTTGTCCATTATCAATTCTTTTGAAAAAAATAGAAATCAAAGGGACTATCTTCTTGAACGGTTAGAATGCAGTATTTAGGAATTAAAAAAAATATGAGAAATATTTTTTTTTTTTTCACATTTTTCTAGCTAGGAATTAAATTTTTAAATACTTTGAAAAACTATTTGTTACTTGTCAACGTCCTGGGGTTCTGCTGCGTGGTTGTATCAATTTAGTCTTCCTTTGTATCTGAACATGAAACAGTTCCAATGATCTGAAATCATGTCGGGGAAAATGTTTAATGCTGAAGGCAAATTCTTAAAACACCCACAAATTTTTCTAAGGAGCGATTTTGATTATGCATTCATTAACCGTCAATGCAAAACACCGAAACAAACAAACTACACAAAGACGATGGATATGGCACGAAGTCTTACAGAACCGTGACGCTTTTTTGCCAAAGATCCCAAACTGCTTTAATGTAACATCACAATCAAACGATAGCTTTAGCGTGCAAAGATGTGATTATTGTTAATTATTAGTTCTTTTCATTATCTTCCACTGGATAAATAGATATAGCCTCCTTCCTCCCATCATCATACTGAAATGCAACACAAAACTAAGAGTCCCATTAGATCTAAGTAGTTCAGAGTGCCGTTGATATGCTTAATCTATGTATATTTTGATATCTCTTCTCATTTATGTGGGCAATTTATGTTCTACCTATTTGTTTTGTTCTGCTGTCCTATTTCAATGTACGTTCCATATTTGTGTTGTTCTCCTCTGTCCTCTCTTAATGTACGTTCTATATTGTGCTGTACTCTCCTGTCCTCTCTGTGTGTTGTTCTTATCAGTACTATCTGAATTTATGGTCTACCTTTGTGTTGTTCTCATCTGCAGAAATCTTTCAATCTATCTTCCTGTTGTTCTCATCAGCACGTCTCTTAATCTATCTTTCTTTGGTATCAATAGTTAGACGGTATCGAGATAAATTCATTTTTAATTCATGAAATTCCCGTTAGTTTGCATGTGGTGTGAGTAGATACACAACATAATATGTCAGCTATAGAAATGACATTAGATATTCTGATAGAATCCAGACAACTCCACAGCAAGAGTCGTGCCATTAGTAAATGGAATCAGTCATGAATATTTCATTTGCCTCCAGAAGATAAAAAGGTAAACACGGAATGAATAACAATATCACTGTAACACCATGTACATCCTAACGCTTTCTGATCAAATATTTAAGCCAAAGCAATTCACTGTCTCATAAAACGCAGCATAAAAACAGTTCGCTGAACTGCATTCGGGTAGAAAACCCTGTTACCTGATTTTCTATTTTTATTTCATTGTTCATCCTATCCCGTAATGCTTTATATATTATTTATAAGAATCCACTTTAGTTGTTTTTCATGTGCGTGTTATAACTGCTTCCAACGTTTGTATTTCAGCTTGTTACATGACAATAGAAAGCTGTTTTTCAGTTTGTTACATGACAATATACGGTTATTGTCAGGATATCGAATACTATATTTATATACATCATAATCTTTAAATTCCATGTAGTAAAAAGTGGTCCCCGGTATTTTTGTTAGCATTGACTTCATTAATATATCGAAAGCACGCGAACTGGTAATTCGTTTGAAGCCATGGCTGTGTTCACGTTAAAGACGTTAAATGCGGTTACTTTCTTTCTATGCAGAAATGTTGGCAGAAATGTATTCTGTCCCAACGGTGAAATTATTAATACTGTAGTAGGCTATCTTATGTTTATATCATTAAAAGTAATTGCAGATTCTTGTTTGAAGTTTTGTTTGAAAAGTTAATGCGAATTACGCATTACATGCTCTCAGGTATATCTCATGTAGGTAGCTCAATGTTTGTTTTTATTCATGCCTACTTCCGATAAGTATTTCATTTCTGCAAATAAAATACAAGTTTGAAACATTAAGCCAGTCTAAATTTATTGTAGGGAAATGGGCAGCTGGGTGGTTTAGTGCGTTTGCATACGTGTTGTTTTGATCCCATGCTGATACGGAAAAATGATTTGGATAGCTCAATTAATGTTTAGGGGTGGGGGAGGGATAAATTGTTTAAGTAATTCATTCATTAAGGTGATGTTTAATTGTATTACTTATTTCCGTAGTATGTAGATGGCTCTCATGGTTGTCTTCTGGTTTCCCGTGGCGTATTTTCTCTCAGAAATGTCGTTGTTCGTATGGGGTTTTCACGTCCAAGTCCACCAAAGCTGATGTCGCAGAAACGTTTTTTTTTTGTAGTATATTCAGCGCCTGTGCAGGGGCCATTTCTGTATAGGAAAACGGAGTACTCCTAGTCGTAAACCCACCAGGATGAGAAGACGACCCCCCTACATTCACTCAACTCATTGATCGAACCCACCATCGCAAGCCAGATGACCGGCTATTAAATATTCGTAGTGTAAACGCAATCCGGTCTCAGAACGGATTTATGTGCATATGTTAGCATTACCTTTGACCTTTTGATCCTTTTCTCCAATACTAAATTTATTTTTTTCTATAAAGAGTGCCAGGCACGGTTTCGAGAAGTGTTATTGCATAGCAATGTAAAGTGTTTAATTTCTTGAATTTTATCGCGGCCTGGAACGATGCGCTTATCCCGGCTAAGTGTTAACAATAGTGTTAGCCCAGTTTTCACTCTATAACTACAAGCCCCAAGTTCACAGAGCATTCTCAGACATAAGTTAAGAATGTACTCAAAATTGTTTGCCTTATTTTAACTAAAGTATAGCCCTTTATAAAACTTTTGTTATTCTAATGTATCAAATACATCAATATGAAACTATATGCAGTTTTTTGTATTTCTGGATCAAAAGATGTTTTTCATAAACAGTGATTTTAAGTTGAGCAAATTCTTAACATAAGTCTAAGAATGGTTTGTGAACTCGGGGCCAGAGTGTTCTTACCTTTCTCGCTTGCTACTGTTGTATTGAATAAGGGATGTATTCCAGTGACTTAGAATATGTGGTCTATTAGTAATATGTGACTTAGCAAACCATTTTTGAGAACTGAAATGAAATGGGGTTAACATCCTACTTTTTTGTACCAACTAGGCTAATGAAGACAGGTAATGGCCATATAGTGTACTATGAGGGAAATTTTGCTCGGACAGCGGCACTCTTATATCGAATTCCAACTGTCAAGCGTTCTATTACGCACCCGCCAATATCTACACGGTACCTCGGTTCTCGTTCCATCTGAACTACTAGGCACTGTCCTTGTCCTGCGTCACTGGCAATGGGTAACCGCG